AAGACGTGATTCATCGCATATACAGAGATGTCAGTGACAACTGCTGCACTTTCTGTTGGACTATCAACTCAATGATGGTATGACCTCTAGATTCGGTTCAGTAATGACAAAACTCCTTACAAGAAGAACTTGTCCGCGAGCTTTTCCAGAAGTGGCAGGAAAGGTATTTTTGCATGCTGTGAGTCTTACACATCCTCAATCTTCTCCTAATCATTGAACTTTGGATTAGACCACGTGTGAGCATACGTTCACCCATTGCTCTAGCATTCTAATTCATACATTGTTCATGCACTTTCCAGTTCTAGTGAGCTTGGATTCCTCGCTATTTCTGTTTTAGATCGTACTGACATTCCGTCACCAGTTAGACCTGGTAGCGAGAGTCTTCTTGCCGCAGGTACGTGGTGTCCAGGCAAGAATGAGTTAGCCACTATCCGGTGAGTAGACTGATTCGCTCAAACGACTTTGTTCCTAACGAAATTCCCTAGTTCCAACATTGCTCGTTCCTCCGATAGACTCAGACAGGTTATCTCTGATCCTGAGTTCGTCGCGCTCTTCGGTGAACCAACGCCGACGAAAGACGGGAGCCGTAGGAACATCTTCGGTGCTGAAGATGAGTTAAAAGTGGCGCCAAAGGGGTTCGATAAGGATCACAGGTAATGAAATACAACTTTTCTGCTCTCATACTGAAGATCATGTCGAACATAGGGATATTGATCTTCTTAAATGTCGTACTTTCGCCGTTCTTCATCGGTGAGGATACCTCGTCTTTTTGATTCTCAACAGCTGATAGGGTATCAATGTAGATTCAAAGATTCCGAAGTACTCGCTCCTGACTTCAAGAGAAGGTTGGGTGAAGCTGTAGCCGTAGCTCGACCATTCGTGCATTGGTGAGCTCGTCGGAGTCCTTTTCAAGATAAGTCATGTGTTGATATATCCCGTCCCAGTTTGAACGACCTGATGACGCTGCAAGATCACAACAACGAAAATGAGGATGATGACAGAAACTGATTTCTACACATGGTGTTCCTTTCTCTGATGTTCTGTGCTGGGGCTCCCATTCATTTCACCCCCTCACAGCCATGTAAATAACTGAGATATTTTGAGACCTGCAGACAATATGCAACAGGCAATACTTTAGCTGTATTTCAAGCAGTAAGCGATAAGGACCAGACCACCTGGCTGAATGGAGATTGTATGACTCTAATATGAGCCCTTCTCGCTGTGTTGAAGGAACATCGACGACTCGTTGATCTCGTTATTTCCTTGGCAAACAACCCATGCACATTGGGCTGGGATGGGAAATGGTCATCGGCGGCAGTACAAAATTGAAGTCGACGGAAAACACCGTCCTCTTGATCGTGCCCCGCAAGTCCGAAAGGTATGGGTGACGATGAAAATACATATCCTCAATGAATGTCTGGGTTGGCTCTAGTCGCAGAGAGGACCATAATATTCGAGAATCAATTCCTGAAGACGTTCAACTCTTAGAATGGGCCCGACTGCTGCTTCGGTGGATATTGAGAGCGATTTACCGACGATAATTGAACCGTCGAGCATTGATTGCCATACGATAGATCTGGCTAGGGTTTCACCATGATAGTCTCTCCTTCCCTTAATATTGAGGATAATTTCGATCACCTATATTACGAGGTCATCCAGCTACCGCAATTGACTTGAGATAGTCAATCCGATGAGGGTTCGCATCACTTTCAGCTCCGCGATAGATAGCTGACCACTTTGGCTCGTCCTGACCAGGTTTTAGTTAGTTCGAGCTAATTGTCAGAGCAATCGAACCAAATGAGTACCTTGAACAACCGAACAGCTTGCACCAGATCTCCCTCATCGACAGTAAATCGATGGTAGATTCCAGCAGGGATCACTAGTAAGTCACCGGCAGACACAGCTAGACGGATCCATGAATCGGTAGAAGCCTCTGGTAAGTATGCGGATGTCACGGCGTAAACGTATGCATAGATGCTTGAGCGGGAGCAAATGCAGCTAAAAAGAAACTACACGTACGGCGAATATCAAAGAAACCACTTCCTGATAGAACGTAACGAATCTCCTCATCCTCATGGATATGTCTGAATAGATCACAAATCTCTCCTCAGTCATCGGACGCGAACAATCAGCTTACTCTTTGTAAAAGGCCTTGATTTTCTCTTCGTATTGCTATCTCGTTGTCAAAAGGATTGATTATCCTCATTTATACACAAAGTTGCCCACAAAAATAACTCACGTCCCCCAAGCCTTCTTTTGATATAGTGATAACATCTCTGTTCTTGTATGCCCTTTCCTTCAAAATGACGTTCAACTTCTCTTCATACCCTTCCGTGAGGGGGATATTCCATGATTCAACCCTGAGACCGTTCAGAGTTTCGGCGTCAATAGACCGAGACGAATCGTGAGGTAATCTTTGGTCCCCAGGTTGATTGTCAAAGTAATATGCACGCATGTCTGGATTGACTGCAGAGGTTGGAAAAGCTTGGAGAGTGGTAAGATGATAGTTCTGACGAAAAGGTTGAACGTGAGTAAATCCGAGCTCAATAGTCTATATAATGGGACAAGCGGAACTGCAACGGAATGCCGGAGTGGTAGTGGAATGAATACGATGATTTACAGCAGGTACTGAGATCCCGCTTCCCTTTTTGTTGTATAGTTGCTGGCGTGGTCAGCTTCCACTAGTACTGCTATTCTTTGTCTGGATGAACAGATTGGTCAAGTTGCGAAGAATGAATCTGCACGATGACGAAATTTCGAGCTTTTCTTAGCTCACGCAATTCATATCATTAGACTAAGTATTTAACAAGTCCAATCATACTTTGCAATTCTGCAGCACTTCTTCAACCCAATCGGCCATAATTCGATGAGTTTCCTTTGATGGGTGTCTATGGATTTCATCAATCAAGGCTGAACGAGTCGAAAAAAAATAGTGCGCTGACCCATCTATCCAGTAGAAGTAATGCTCCGGATCCATACACCAGCCGTATTGGTTACAGTCTTCCGTGCAGACCGTACATGCTGCGGTGCTTGTATATCCAAAGGCCTGATATCTGATCATCGGAATCAAAAAAAGCTCGACACTAGCTAGCTACACAAACTTCCAAACTCGAAACTCACCCTGGATTGGGTCCCAGCACCCCATCCCAAATCGCTGCCATGTCGACATAAGCCACGTTGAGGTTCGCAGATCCCTCATGAAGTGCCTTCAGACCATCAAACACTTGCTGTTTGTACGCTTCACCCCACGCGGAAGTGTTTCCCCGTCCATAAACGTCGACGACAAGGAAGGACTTGCCATTTGTAGGCGGGCTGGACAGGGTTTGGATCTCGTTTAGGATAGTTTCCGCGGCCTCAGGCATGTGATCGCCGTCGACTGTAAGCATGGTACATCGTTAGGTGAGGATGAATGGCAAGGAATGCAAAAGACAAAGTCTCACTGAGGGATGCGATGTAATCACTGCGCAAAGGTGTAGATAGCTTGAGACGAGAAACTGTGCTAGGGTGAACAAACTTACTTGATCCCAAAGAATATGCTATAAAGGGTTGAGTCTGGATCTAGTTGGTTTGACTGACTGAGGAAAGTTGCCACTAATGGCGGTCATGGCGTAACTATCAGCGGAAAGACACGCTGATACTCACTTTGATCGATAAAATCGACTTTCCTAGGATTACTCGGCCACAGAGATAGATTCGTGCACGCACCCCATTGCTGTAAGATTCCGGAAAAAAGGTTGGAACGGAGCTCAGTCAAAAATAGAAAAGCTCAAGTGGACAAAGGCAAAGGTCACATAACAAAGAAAAATCAGAAGACCTATATCTCGAGGTGTACGCCGTCACAATTGTATTTAGAATGCAGTCACGGCGCCACAGAAAGCTTTTTGAACCAAGAACATCAAAGAAAAGAGGAAAAGCTCAGGGGAACATACCGCATAATCCATAAGATGAGCACCCCAGTCACCGGATACGCCTTCAATCCAGACAGGTCCGTTCGTGGACCGTCCACCGGCTTCATCATTTGGAGGGATCAAAACAGGCGGGAGAAGCGCAGACCCATTGTCAATGCCTCCATCCGTGTACGAGTCCTATACGCATACAAGAAGGGAAAAGAAAAAATATGTCAAGTGAATATGATGAATCAACACACAAAGTAGAGAACGATTGCACACCCCAAACGAAATGATAGTCTTGATCGACGAAGGCACGATTCCCGCATTCACATTCGTCGTCTTCCCATCCAACGGCCCACACTGAGGCGAAACCGCCAAATGAATGCCATCGTTATCGCCATTGCCTTGCCTTGGTCTTAGTATAGTTTCTGGCACTGTTGAATGCAAAGAACGCTGAGACCTCCCCGGAGCAGAGTGTACACCGTAGTAGCTCCCACTGAATAGCAAACTGGAGGTGTAGACTGAGAGGAGAAGGTGAATCAGTTTCGGGGACATCGTTGTGTATGTTTAGTAGTCAGCGAACCACCGAGAAGAACGAGGAGCTGCTTAGATTTTGGAGGATATAACGCTGACTTTTATACTTTTTCAACATGGCAGAACAATCCGAGGAACCTTCTAACGACGTGCTCAGACGTTACGTCTTTCTTCGCTCTGTCCACATGGCCATGTATCCTTCCTCTTGTTGAACCTGTAGTTGGACTGAAAAGACCTTGTATCGTTCTAAATTAGGAATATAATCAGCACTCACCTTTCAACTTATTCGGTGTACGAATAGCAATTGAATTGAATCAGCACTGAATACGTACAATTGATGTATAACAGCGTCACCGGATAGGCCCAATAAAGTTTCCAACGATGTTGAGCTTGAAGGGGATTCTAATTCCATGGTACAACAGATGGAAGCAGAAGAAGAGAATATCTTCAAACTTTCTCTGATCATAAGACTATAGTGCACATGGCTCCAAGGCTCAAAAACGTATCGAATTTAAAAGATACAGAGCCGGCTTGAAATATGGAGGCAAGAATGAAAAAAGTACTATTTCGTAGGTTTTCCAATGCGGGGAATCGAACCCCGGGCTGCTGTGCGAGGAACCTCAATGAAAGACAGCAATGTTAACCACTACACCACATTGGATAACTTCAATCTGCAATAACACTAATCACCATAATAAGCTGATTGATCGATAAAGGAAGTTTACTTTTTTTTTCCCCAAGTAAAAACCCTACAACAGTGAAACTCTAATCGAGCATATCAATGACAACGGGCCTGAACCCTGGCCCACCGAAGCGAAAATTCTGGTATTCGCGTCTGCGTTGGCCCATAGGCCAATTGGCAGCATTGACGAACACTGTGACACTGTCTTTGTCTCCGTTGACTTCGCTGGATTCGTCTGATTGTTGTTCGGTCATTACTTCGTTCGATTCGACCTGATCATTCTGTACGTTTCCAACGTTACCCTTGTACCAAGGGTGAATATGAGCACCATGAGCTTCGTGGATATGCCCGAAGAGATGTAGACGAGGACGGAGACGAGGAAGAGTATTGGCGAGAGTCGGACAGCCCGGGAAATCACCTTGGTTTGTGCGGTCGAGGATGTTACGAGGAGGACCATGGGTAAGTCTGACGGATGATCATATTGATATAGTGGCGATGAAGAGAGCAAAACGAAATGGTAACTCACAGGATATCGGATTTCGGGAACTTGGAGATTAACGCTGTAAAGCCATGATTCGGACGAAGAGTGCAATTCAATGTACGATGCACCCACAAGGTCCTTCAGTGGCAGTGTATCCAAAAGCCCAATTATAGAACTCCGGTGACCACTACGGAGAATGCAAGAATGAGCATTGTATTGTGCTGCCTGGGTGTCAACTCACGGGAGAGCCGTACACAGACCACGATCTGCCGCCTTCTCTTGCTTGAAAGGTGTAAAATTCATCTTGCAGGTAGACAACGTTAGATTCTTGTGCATGTTTTCCTTTGAGTAGATCGAGAATACGTCCGCGATCCTGAGTTCAAGTTTATGAGTGATTGATACAAGCCGGAAAGTATTACAACATACTTGTGGCTTTGCGTGTCCCAAATTTGACCACCTACTATGATTCATCTCGTACCAGTCAGCATGTAGAGGTAGATCATGATTCCCTGCGATAATTCTGCCATGGTCAATACTCCACATAAGTAATATAGCATAGATACGCACATTTTCCATTTATGAGGCAGGCTGCAAATCCAATTCATAGTCTTCTCAAACTCTGCTACGGTCCCGGTATTCGTCAGGTCTCCACTGTGCAGCAGAACGTCTCCATCTGGAACAGGAAACTGCCTTGTGTGAGTATCGCTGACACAAATAAAGCGCGTATAACCAGAGGAAGGAGGCGGAAGATTTGAAGGGTCATATTCGAGATAAACGACGTCTCTGCTTTGAGGGGATCTGAGTGTTACAGACTTTTCTTCAGCCATAGTACAATTACAAAGAGAAAGGTGTCGTTCTGGCGCCCAACTGGCGCGTAAGTGATGGCAGGTGATGCAGCAACTCTAATAAAGCACTCTTCGTCTCTAGACAGTTTCTTCAAAGGAACCTGCGATCATAGTGCTGGCGCTACCGCTATGATACTCCTAAGTTGTTCTCCAAGTCACAATGGCCGAGTCGCCTGACGTTATCAAAGGTCAAAGAGAAGGGGTCTGTCTGCCTAGCTTCACGCAGAAAACTTGGCGTGTGTACAAGTATGTCCTATCTTCCGGAAGCTGTGTGTATCATGTCCCGCTGGAATGCGAGTCTTGTGCTATCAAAATACTCATCAATTCATAGTCGAATCATAGTGATTATCTGATCCTCTATCAAGTCCTCACACTGGACTGCGAGCTGCTTACATTCAAGTTGCGTTGTACGTACTTTGGCCTCGATTCGTGATTACGGGCTATTGCAGGATGATTGCAAGCTAGATGATTCGCTCGTCACGTCACTGGACTTCCGCATCTTGTGAGTATGATTGTTTTCGGAGAGTAACATTTGCCGCGCAGCATCCGTCCGGTCATATTATCTTCCCTACCTCAAACTGCTTGTCGTTATTTGAAACTTGGCCTTGTTGGTTTGGATCCTCTTAGACCAGATAGGACCCTTTCAAGGTCACAGAACCTCCATTGTCTTCGAGTTTCACAAAGACAATTTGGATGCTTTTAGATATTTATTGAAAGGGTGCTACACTGCTTTTGGCCCCTGAGCGCTGAGCACCGGCAGAATTCTTCGGCACGGAAGTTGAAACTCGAAGCGCCCGATCAGCGCGGGACGAAATTCCCTTTGAAAGAAAGGTATAAAAGATTGCCGATGGCCCTTTGCGTGCCTTCCCTCTGGTGCAGGAACATATAAGTTTGGTATTATCTCTCCGTTGGGCAGGCCCTCTCCCCCTTCCAGTCCCTACCCTCAAGTAAATCTAGTGTGCTACTTATCGTCTCTAGGCCGGCCCTAGTCATCATCGCTCTCGCTCGTTCTCTCAGTCTGCTATATCGTCCCACTCCTTCAACCAATTCAGCACACAGAATAACGAATATGATGTTTTCCAACGAGTTCTCTTTCTTCTTTGTCGCTATCGCGTGTATTCTCAACTGGACTCAACTCGTTCACGGACAGACCATCAGTGGAATTGTGCGTGTCAAAGTTTCTTTCTTCGCGTTATTTGGCGTTGACTCATGGTTGCTGTTCTCCAGGTTACTTCTTCCGATCAGAGCCAGCTACTTCAAGCTATCACTGACGCTCCTTCATTCACCTCTGGAAGTGGCGCGGCCGATATTGCCATCGACGAGACAACAGTGTATCAGCAAATGGTAGGGTTCGGTGGATCAATAAGTGCGTCGCCTGTGTTGTTTTACTTCACAAGAGCAATGTCTGATTTACACAAAGCGGATTCGGCCGCTCTGGCAATGTTCAATCTCAAGGTCCGTGTTATGCATACGATTTTGTTTTAATATCTGTATTCATTCACCCATAGAACGCTAATGCCGATATGTATAACAAATTCTTGAAGAATGCATTCACCAGTACAGGCGCAGCTTTGAGCTATCTGCGCGTTCCAATCGGCGCCTCCGACTTTTCATCTTCCTGTGAGCGCTGACACTTCCCGTGGTCATATAACCAAAAATGACTCGTTGGCATCGCAGCGTACAGCCTAGACGACATTAGTGGCGACACTTCCTTCAACTCCTTCAATATCTCCAACGCACCTTCGTATCTTTTCTCGACGTTAGCGGATATCTATGCCGTCAATCCGAACGTAAAGGTCAGTTGCAGCACTGTCTTTTCCCAAACTTTTCGTGTTTACGTTTGCATTTTGCATTATTCCAGATCCATATACTTCCTTGGTCTCCAGTACGTCATGTCTATCAACGATCTCTCTCTCCCATCTCTTAAAACATTCTATAGCCAGCGTGGATGAAGGATGGAAATACCATGAATGGGGGATCTCTCAAGAGTGGTATGGTCAGCCCTTGTGAGTTTCAGACACGATCAAAATCATGGCGATTATTGATACATGACCTATCAGACCCTACATATCTCTTGAAAGCAGTGCAAGGATTCAAGGCCAAGAACTTACCTGTGGAAGCGATTTCCATCCAAGTGAGTAAAAACACTTTTGCAACCATTCATAATCATTGAACGTACCTTCAGAACGAACCACAGAACAGCAATCCTACCTATCCCAGCTGTACTATTGACGCCTCGACTCAAGCTACTATCGCCAAATCCCTGCGCAGTTTGCTCGACCAAAATAGTCTCACCGACGTCAAGATTATCGGTTATGAGGTGATGAGCCTTTCACAGCGTTCGTTATGGACCTTTCTCAACTCACGTTCTCCGCGTTATAGCACAATTGGGATGATACAAGCTCATACACTATTCCCATGGTGAGCGCCGTTCATGCCCTCTTCCGAACTTCACTGATATCACTGTCACGTGCGTTCATAGGTCGATGATGCACCCAATGCGTTCGAGGGTGTAGCGTAAGTAATTAGTCCATTACATCAACCCCCTACTCACCGCTTCCTCAGTTTCCACTGCTATGGTGGACAGGTATCACAAACGGCAGCCTTCAGCGCTCAATTTCCTAACATTGTAAGTTATATCTTTTCCTTCATCAGACTTCTTTGATAGCTTACTCTATGCTCAGCCGATGTATCAGACCGAATGCGCCGGTACAACGGGATCAGATTGGTGGACCGATGTTCAATGGTATGTTAACAACCTGTGAGTGTATTCCAGATGAATCTTGCAAACCTTCCTCATCTATATCTAAGATGGTCCGCGAACAATACCGCTACGGTACGTGAGAAGCACACAACTCGTACACCTTATATCCCACACTAACTCGAATGTAATATAGGGAATGATGTGGATTTTCGCCTCCGCTGACAATGGTCAATCTCCTTATCCTGGTTCTAACAGCTGTGGGGACGGCTGTCGTGGAATGTCCACAGTGACAACGAGTAGTGTGACCTACAATCAGGAATACTACTCCATGGCACACTACGCCCGGGCCTTCACCTCTGCCGACGGGAGTACTTTGGGCAAGAGGATTCAGGCTTCCGGTGGTTCGAACCTGAACGTGGTTGCGTATGCTACCGGAGACGAGTACTCCCTGGTAGTCCTGAACAGTATGTTGGCCCTTTCTCTTTTCGGTGTCCGAACTCACCGTTCAATCACAGGTGGTGGCTCTTCGAAAAAGAGTATTTCTTTCCAGGGGAAGCAGGTGAGGCGGCAAGCTTTCTTGAAGTCACTGTTCTGACCTCAACTTCGTGTAACCAGGCCACGTTCACCTTCCCAAGTGGTCTAACAACGTTATGGTGGACGGGTTCCAACACTTCTACGAAACGAATGATAAAGAAGAGAAGAATATAAGTCAATAGTGATAGATTCCTTGCTTTTTCTCCTCGATGGAGTATTTATGTCGCCCTTGACGGGATATATTTATTCTTATGCATTAATGATAAATGCTGGTCAACGATTTACTTCTTTGTGTCTCGATCACTGTTTTCCTGAGCATTTCCTGTTTTTTTGCGTGGATTGGATATGCGTGAGCCAGAATGTGAAGTTGGTATGAGAATTCATGCATGTTCCAACCTGAGTACCAAACCGATCA